CTGAACCCCAGCAGCACACGGGCACCGAGCTGCAGTCTTTCCCTTTGGCCATTCAAAACATCCACCAGTTTGTTTTTACACTTTATTAAATACATGCCAGATGCAGAAGCCAGTTTATTCATTCTCCTCACTGCGCAGTCTGGCGTTGGGGTTGGTGATCTTGATGGCGAGCTGGGCAGCTCTCTCGACGATTATCTTCCGGTTCTTAGAAGACACGTTGTGAGCAATCTCTGCGCAGTACGACCTGTCGGGAACAGACACGCGTCAGGCACAGCTCCAACAGCAGACAAGGCAAAGCGCTCCAGAGCCATCCTGCCGGCAGCGCTCGGAGGCAGCAGAGGACGGCCGGGCGATCACCCGCGGGACGACTCCCACCCCCATCACCGAGTCCGACGCGTTCTGGCCCGAAGCAGGAGCTCGCCTCCAGAACAGCTCGGCCCTTCCGCTTGCTTTCTTGCGAATGAAGAGTCAGTAAGAGGTAGTTTTTAATGGTGTGAATTACTACTCTTATTACTTTGTTTTGAAAGAGTGCTACAAGTACATTTAGGCCTGTGTCTGAACAGATACGAAGCCACAGTTCTCATCACTATTTTATCAGTGATGTAGGTACAGCGCTGTTTACCACCACTATGTCGTATTTTTGCTAAAGGTACAAGTTTGCCAGCCCCGAGACACCCTCTGTGCCCCCCCGCCAGCGGCAAAGCAGCACTAAGGAAACCAAGACGACCTTCGTGCTCTTAAAAGCAACAACTTCCCTTGTCTCCCGCCTACGTCTCCCCCCAACCCCAACTGTGCTGCGTTTTCATCCTCCGACCCGGTGCCATTGGGGGATGGGCAGCGCACAGCCCCAGGGCAGGCGGCAGAGCTGCCAGCGAAGGCTCCGCACAAGGCAGGGAGCACACCAGCCCTGCGGACTTACTTGTTGCTCATCATGAGCACTTCCAGCTCTTTGACGTTGTGGACCAGGAACTTTCTGAACCCCGTGGGCAGCATGTGCTTTGTCTTCTTATTGCTGCCATAGCCAATATTGGGCATCAGGATCTGACCCTTGAACCGCCTGCGAACTCGGTTATCAATACCTCTTGGTTTACGCCAGTTGCGCTGAAGAAATGCAGAAAATATTTAGTAGTTACAAAACGAGATCAGTCTGAAAACACCTGCCTCAAGGTAACAGCTCTAGCCAAAAACAATCTCCAAAAAGATCCACCATGCCAGGCTGTTACAGCGTGGCCCACTGCTTCAACACTGATCCTTTACGCTTTAAATCACCACCAACCCTAAAGGCAAGTGAGTCCAATTGTCCCAGAATTCATTTGCTAATGAACTTCCAGAGAGTTTTTACCTTGATCTTGACATAGCGATCAGACTGATGGCGGATGAACTTCTTGGTCCTCTTCTTGACGATTTTAGGTTTCACGAGAGGTCTGAGGGCAGGCATGGTGCCTAAAATAAACAGAACTGGTATGAGAAGGGAAACCCGACACAAACGCGATGAGTTACTCCACTTACAGTGCATGTAGCAGACTATCTTCCACTCACTGGCCACTCTGGAGGCTAGCGAGGGAATGGGTATTCATCTGCAGTGTCTCTCCCTCCCGCCTCCGAAGCTGGAAGAGCACTGGAAGCTCTCCAGATGCGATCCTAGGAGGTCACGCGTTGCTCAGACGACTGCCGCAGCCGCGTTCGCAGGCATTACGTTCACCACCCATTACTCTCCTGCCCGAGCAGCTCAAGAGCCCTTCCCACTCCGAAAAACCCGG